GGAATACTTGCGTATCCTACAGCATCCAGTCAGAACTCTCTAGGAAGCAATAGCCATTGGAGCTACATGACTGGCCCCTTATGGCACTTAATATTTAGCCCCAAGGATGTACATGAGAGTGATTCCAAGCCTCCATCACTTCCTTTCACTTTTTCAGAATCCTTAGCAAAGAAGAAGAGGATAGAGGGAGTTAAATGTAAATCGGAACAGACAATCTACATGAAGTAGAGTTACTGGTAAGTAACCTCTCTTTCTCCTTTGAGTATGATCAACATGGATCCCAATTCTTGAGAGATTAAATAGCAGTAACAATCCTCAAAAAGTATGTGGGTTTGTGGAGCATTTATTAAAGATTTTGGAAGAGTATTGAACTTGGAATCCAACATAGGAGAGGAATGAAATCTTCAAGAATCAATAGCATGAAGAGTATTCTCCCAGAATCTCAACAGTGATTCCATTGGCTTCATAAGTACAAATTTCAAGTCCCTAGAAGGTGGTGGATCTCAAATGGATGGAAAGATATGGATCAATCCTTTCAAAAATCTAGAAGATAGTAAGCAGAGATGGCAGTCAATCGGATCTTAACAGAACTCAAGGATAACCCAGACTGTCTGAAATAGCCCCAAATTGGTCATTCTGAATACACCATAGATTGTAATAGAACTAGAAAAATACAAGCAAGACTCTTCTCCATTCCCTTGTATACATTCTTATTGTTGAATGCTCCGTTCTCTCCAAGAAATTCTCTTAAAACTCTAGGGAATACTTAAATTCAGAGAGATTATTAACAGTCCAGTATTCATACTACCAGAATCCCAAATGGACGGATTAATCATGAACCTGTGATAGCTTCTTGGAGAGGAAGTCTGAGAATAAAAACTGATTAATCCAAGTCAAAACTATCATTGCCTGAACCTTGTCCTGTCTAATTTTAGTAATGATACTCAGATTGAGAGGCTGCAGGGGAAAGACAGGAATGCCTGAATCCAATGTATTATACTAGTTATTTGTACTGTTGTAGCACCTAGGAGTCCCAGTCATGGATCAGGACTCCATTGTGCTAGGCACTTTTCAAATACTACCCCCAAGAGCTTACAGTTGAAGTAGAAGACAAAAGACAATGTGGATACAGACAGACAGAGACATGAGATGCACAAGGGAACAGCAAGACAATGCTGGTCAGCATGACAGGCAGTGTTTTCTGAAAACCAGTTGCCTAACTTAAGTTTTTGTAGGCACCATTCCAAAGGAGAGTCTTAAGTAGGATAATGGGGTGGCTTTGCAAATGTTTATGAGGAGCTCCTCCCACGAGTGAAGGTATGCATTGTTCACTGAAGTGAGGGCCTCTTGCTTCTAGATCAAAATTGAAGACTTCCCTCCTCCATTTGTGGCAATTTGTTAACAGCCCCATCTTGAGAAGATGACTGTTGAGTTTTTGAGGGACCAACTGTGTTGGGCACCATACTGTTTGCTGAGGATGTCCACTGAACTTCTTGCTGAAATGCTGTCCTTTCCAGACAGATGAAGAACCAATGAGTGATCCAATATTGAGACATTTTGACCAAACTAACTTATTTATGACACAGGCCTAACGTATGACAGCTACATAACTCCTTCTTGGAGCAGATACCTACATTAAAATTATACTCCCATTTTGAGAAGAGGTGGTTAAGACATTGATGCAGAATAGGAAATTTCTTAATCTAATTAATCAGGTATAAACATACAGTCCCTGCCCCTCATGAATGAAGTAGTAATAAAGGAAAATACTGGCAATGAGAGGTGGAATCTAGGAGCTATATACATGTACACCTCTACCCCGATATAACGCGACCTGATATAACACAAATTCTGATATAACGCAGTAAAGCAGTGCTCCGGGGGGGGGGCCTGTGCACTCCGGTGGATCAGTGGATCAAAGCAAGTTCAATATAACGAGGTTTCACCTATAACGTGGTAAGATTTTTTGGCTCCCAAGGACAGCGTTATATCGGGGTAGAGGAGTATGTTGTGGAATTGTTCCAAAATTATACACTTTGAAGTGGCACATAATTCCTCTCTCCCATTAACTCTGGCTCTTTCTATTCTTTTACCTAATTCATAGGAGCCCATGGATTCTCTGGAACAAGTATTTCTTTCAGCTGCACAAATAGCACAGCACCTGATGCTTCTGTGTTGAAAGTTGAATGATTCTAGGGCTAGAGGACTAATAGAATGGGATTAATAAAATATTGACATTTAAAAGGCACAGTACATATGTGAAGACTTATTAGCTTTATTTCTGTGGATTTTAGACTAACATTTGAATGTACTGGGGAAGGTAAGACACATGACAATGCCCTATCAAGTAAGCAACAGAGAGTCCTGTGGCACCTTTAAGACTAACAGATGTATTGGAGCATAAGCTTTCGTGGGTGAATGCCCACTTCGTCGGATGCAAGTAATGCATCCCTGGGATAATGACGACCCTGGGATAATGCAATCAAGTTTTGATTTTCCTTTCCCTCCTAATTCTGCCTTTATTCTTCCTTTTCTTCACTGTTTTTGATATTTTTCATTATAAAATAAAAATCTCACACTCACACACACACAGTTGCAAACATTGCAAACACAGTTGCTGCTCTGTAACTGTCCCATAATTGGGAAGAACCTCACAGCAGAAAGAAACGGAGCTTGTGAAGGCTGCTAAAAATTCTTAGTTCTTTTTGGCTGTTGCCACTTATTTACCAATGAGGAGGTAACACCTGCTGGTCACAAACTGATATAGTGGGATGCAGAAAAGTGCCTTACTATTAAACTTTAATGGTGGAGAACCTGTTGCTAAGGAACATTTCCTAGGTGGTTGGTCACAGTTTCCACATTTCACAGGGCTGTTTCAAGAAAACTCATACCATTCTGTAAGCGTTGCACTTGTTTATTATAAGAACACAGCGCAACAGACAGACAGATTACAATCTTCTGGCTAACACACAAAAATACATGTAAATACTACCAATAAAAAAAACACACTGATTCATCTCTATACATGACAAGTACACAACCAATAAATATCTTGAATCTAAAGCATATATCACATGCTGCCCCATAGCTAGAAGATAAGTACTGCTGCACAGGGTGAGGGTAAAAGAAAGGATTTTTTACATGCTATGGTACCAACTACTTGAAGTCTGAGATATTTTACTAGCCAGATCATAAAATAGACATTCAGATTCGTGGCAAACTTCCGGGGTCTACCTTTATACTTCTCAGCTTCCCAAACACCTCATGCGTTGGAGTGGAAGACCTCCATAACTTGCAACAAAGGACCAAAATGCACAACAGTCACTTTTGGGCCACACATTCCATATATACAGAACACATCCAAACTAGACATACAAATGTTAATATTTTCCAACAAACATATAATTTAAATTAATACTTTCAAAGCTACATCTATGTCCATTCTGACCAGCAACTAAGCAAGTCCCTTTCCTGTCTCTGACTCTCCACTCTCAGTTTCTCTGCATCTCCTACTATCCTATTGCCCCTCCTTTCAAGAGATGCAGCTGCTTTGTTAAGTCTCAATTCTCCAAAGACAAGCATATGAGTACATCCCCACTGAGTTCAATCAGACTGCTCACATGCTCAAAGTTAAGCATTTGAGTAAGTCTTTGCAGAACAAGGTCTTAACTGTGCAAGCTTAGTGAAGAGGAGCTTTCCCAATTTAGCCTAGTTCTGATTGACAAAATGGAGGCACCCACAGACTGAAGATGGAAAGGCTTTAAAAATTGTAGTAAAAAATCAGAAGTCTGCTCCCAAGCAGAGATCTGCTCCTCACTAATGCACACGGGGCCTAAAAGCAGAGTCCACCCCAAGACAGAAGAATGGAATGCTTCAAGGACAGTCCATTAATATGATGTTGTACAAGTACAGCCCCGATTCAGTTCACACCTCACAGCCAATTGCAAATTGGAGAATGACTAAACTTAAAGGGCACACATGCTAAAATGTGTATGAAACTGTTTGAACAAAGAGAGAAAACTGCTCTTGGACCAACACTTTAGAACTATTTTTTAGCCCCGAGGAACGACCAGTTTGTTAACTCTAGAATACGTAATTTTACTGGGCAAAAGAAAACAGAGTGAAATAAGAGCTGTGTCAACCTTATAGAGAAAAATAAAATCTGAAAACACAAGACTGATACACAGCAGCATGTTGACAGAGGAAAGGCACTAAAAGGTACTCCAGTACCAGATGGGCCTCAAGGCACTAAAAAGTACTCCAGTACCAGATGAATGAGACCCAATCTGAACAGGAGGATACTAGCTTACAGTACAATTCTCCCCTTAATGGGGTGCACAGTCCACGTTTGCAGGTGAAGCAAGTTCCGGGGCTGCTGTTTTCTAATAATGTGGGAAAACATCAGAATTCTATTTTCAAGTGTAAGCATGCAGATGCTGTTTATGAAGATTATCCCCACGGGGGTGTGAACAAGACAGTCGCTCCACCTTGAAGCTCTCTATAATTGAAAACATTATTGCCCTTCAACCCTGTATCTTCCTCCAGTACCTCAGCCGGCCTCTCACTGAGCTGGATTTGCAAAGTGGGCTGATAGATCTGTTTGTATCCTGGCAGAAGTTCCCACAGGGATATTTTCTTTCATGATACAGTAATAGCCACCTTTTCTCATTCACTCCCTATGGTTCATCGGTCTAGGTTTAACAAGAGAACACACAAATATTTAGCACCGAGATGGAGCTCCCTGTACACATAGCACCTGATGCAAGTATTTGTGGAATGAAGAGCAGAATAGTATAGACAGGATTGAAGGACTTCCCTTGATTACAGGACATCCTCCTCTGAAGGGTGTGAGTAATGTGAATCTAGTACACAGAACAAGTTCCACCTGCCCTGTAAGCAGGGTACGATTGTGCAGATCCAGGATTAACCAATCCTAGAACTGTCAGTCTTCATCCAGAACACTACTTATAACCAGCACTGCAATGGTGCTTTCAGCACGTAAATTACACACATAGACTCACTATTCCTAAGGCAAGAGAGACACATGGAAGAGTCAATGCATTACCCAGAGGTACTGGCCAGCATCACAAAGACCCTGGTTTAATAGATGCCACCACTGAGAGCAACTGAGTGAGGCCACTGGGGATGTACTGCTTTGAATGGTTTATAGAAAGATTGCTGCATAACTTTGCCACAGCATGCTAAGGTTGAGTTTTCCTGGCAATCAGGTGCCGAAAAGGTTGGATGAAGTCTCAGTGCTGATGGAACTACTGACAATCATTGTGAGCAATGTCTGGAATGCTGCTCGTCAGTAAGGAGAAGAGCTGTGGAAGCAGTAGAGAGGTTTGCTTCTGTAGTTCTAGAGCCAAGAGCTTTATCCTTCTCTTTAGGAAATCATAGTGTTCAGCTGGATCTGCAGTGAGGGGTGAGATGATCCAGACAGGGATATTTTTGCCGGAGTTCCAGTAACAGCAGCTACTTCTTGGGTTTCTCCAGGATGTTGAGGAACTTCCCTCGAGTCATTTCTCTAGCTGAAATCACAAGGGAAAAAAAGATTAATGTCAAACAAACAGAGCAGGATCATTTATAATAGTTAATCACAGGACAGAAATTCATTTAGAACTGTGCACTGATGCTAACACATAGCTAAGAATTTTTTTAAATGAAAAGCTAAATCTGAACTGCACCTTGAATTCCTGATAGCCTGGAAACATAGGCCACACATTGGAAACTTCAAAGCTCAGCAATAATTCCCATGGCCTGTCTCATTACATACAATCTACACTTTCTATTCCTATTGTGGATAGCCTCATGGTCATGCAAGATCTCCCTCTGTCTTTGCACTATCAATCTTTGAATGGTGTAACCCGGAGCTCCATCGCTCTGTCTCAGGGCAATTGTTCCTGGATGCTAAAATCCATCAGAGATTATGGAGCTCTGTCTCTCTCCATTTCAGGATTACTGGTCCCTGGATACTTATGATCTTAAACAGAAATTAGACAGCATTTTCTCTCTCCCTTGGCAGTGTTACTCCCTGGATGCTGCAATATAATAAGGTTTATATTCCCTCAATGCAGTTCATCTATGGATGGTGTAATAAAGTAGAGTTTATAGAGCTTTGGTCTTCTCTCTTTGCATTGTCAGTTCCTAGATATTAAATACAGCAAGGCAAGGTTTATATGTCTCTCTCTCACTCTTGGCACCATCAATCTCTGGTTGCTGTATTACAGCTAAGTTTATACAGCCACTTTCCTGCACAAAACATTTCTGACTTGTGAGCCCATAGGCTCTGGCAGAGCCACCCTAATACAATCTTTGTCCCACAATCACAATACAAAATATAGACAGCATGATTAGTGATCGAGCCCTGGATAGACGGGTTTCCTCACCTTTTCAGCAATTTTAAATAAAGGCTTTAGTAAGCTTTGTGCTGGTGAAAGGTTCCTGACTGACAGCCTAGGGAACATGGAGTCCTTTATTCACAGAACAGGTACAGGAGCAGTACAAGTTTCCTACACCAAACCTGGAGAGCGCCCTCAAGGGATGAGATGGGATTTTAGTTTTTATAAGGTCCATTCATAGTTCTTGACCTCTCTACTGAGAGGAACAGCAAAAATGACAAATAACGCCTGTAGGAACTGAACTAAAACCTGACTCATTTCACATAAGCTACTAAACACCCATCATCACGCAAAGACATTTGGTCACTACTCACCTGGCTGATTAGAACTCATGCCCTACCATTGAAAGACCTCAGATGCCATCCTCAATTCCCTAAACTACCGATCTCTACTTCCCTACCTGAAGAAGTTGTGTCCAGTAGCTGGATGTTTCTGCTAAAACAGTCAACAGTGAAATAGCTGTCATGCTGGCAGATAAATTGGCATGATTAGGTTTCAGAGTCAACACCCTGTTTAAATGAATGGGACACATCTCAGCTATCAGAGCTTTTGTTTCAGGCTGCCTGCAGACTCAGGCAGACATTACTGCATCAGTGACACTGGTTCATGTTTTCAATCATGATGGCTAGACATTTCTTTTTTTAAATGTAAACATGGATTCTGGAGCACAATTCCAAGAAAAAGGATGAACTCTATGGTAGGTTCCATGGCTGAGGAATTGCAGAATACACAGGATCCTCCCATTATACTGAAGAACAGTCCTTTGTCTAAAGAACTGGATTGGGCTTCAGGAAATCTGGGATCTATTCCCAGCCCTGCCCTTGATTCATTTTGTGAGCCCAGGAAACCATTTACTCCTTTTGTTCCTCGATTTCCCCACCTGCAAAATGGGTGTAATAATAAAAATATCTGTCTGCCTCCCAAGGTGTTAATACCAATAAAGTGCTCTGAGACTCCCGGATGGAAGGAGCTGGAGAAGGGCAGAGGGTGGTTTGGATTTTTTGGTTCAGAACTATATTGTTATAAACAAACCAAGAATGTGATTAATAAAAATGTGAGTTTTCTAGAGGTTTCAGTTTGAAACAGACTCCTCAATGCAAACAGCTCCCTGACACTGCCATGCTTCACACTATCTAACAGTGCAGCGTTGTAAAATGCTATTGTAGAGAAAGCACAAAATCCAGCTACAGCATTCTCAGCTGATAGAGTGGCAAGATTTCCTAAAAATCAGACCCATATAGGAGATATACGCATGTATGACAATTCCGTTCCCCCAAAGAGGGTTGCACCCTATAAATCAAGCAGTGAGCATAGACTCCGTCTGTGCTCTGAGTGAAATTACTGTGGGTTGGGGGTTGCTCCAGAGCACGTGCCCTCCTGTTCACTTGTCATCGGAGATGTTAACATTTCTGATTAATTCACAGACCTCTCATTTTATTCTTCATTCCTTTATCCTTGCTATCCTACTCTGCTGTAGCTTAAGATTCTTACCGACCTGCTACAATAATCACCGCCCGCTCTCCCCCCGCCCAACCTGGTGAAATTGTTTAGTGATGCCAACCGCGCTTTTAATTTGCAAGACATCAGACACAGAGGTAATTTATACCAACATCTGTTCATTTCTGACTTCTGAAACAAACTCGCACATGCTGCTACAAAATCCCATTAGGAGCAGGAGGCAGCCTTCTGCTATTCTGTATTTCTCTTCTCCACACACGGGCTGTGTCAGGGCTCTATTTTTAAAGGTATGACACCAAACTAAGAGAGGGCCCCACATGTTTGTATATGTATAGAGATTGCCATGAAATACATCCCCATAATGCAAACAAATCCCAGCCATACTGTAAAGGCAAGTTTACACAAATATTTATAATCTTGTTTTCCCTGCTCTGCCTGACTGTCTGATCTTCCCAAGAATCACAGGTCAGTGTATTGCTGGTAAACACAGGACAGATCCAGATTGCAGGGTTCTGCATTCAAATGTCTTCGCTATTCCTTCCTTGGTCCCTTTTTAAAATCTGCTTTGGAGTCTTTCCTGAACATGAGTGTTCCATAAAAAAGTCTCCAATAATAAAAGTGCTCCGTCTACCCAGCTCCTGGTTAAACAAATTATTTATGATGGGAATAGCATTTCCAGGTGGGCATCTTGGAGTCGTTTGGGTTTCTGCAGAAGCTGGAGAATGAAGAAACCACCTCTATGTTCTAAAAGCGATTGCAGTCAAAGAGAAAGACCATAAAACCTATCTTAAGCAACTGCCCAAGGGAACAGCAGAAGCCAGTTGCCTAGTAGACAGAGATGGTGGATCTTTTAATTAAAAGGCTGGACAAAAAATGTACTGGAAGCCTTTGGGATAATTTAAAATGGTTGCTTAAACCAGGCACTTGTCTAATGGAGGTGGGGTCTTAGCACAGGTTTCATTGTACCAGCAAACAGACACCACAGAGTCTGTGCAGCATAAAATAGAAACATGAATCTCCATGTCAAGTCACAATTTACAACCCTTCCTATGCTGTGCATCTATCACTACAATAGAAAATCAACAATGGATACGATCGCAATAGCCTGGTTACAAATTAATCTCCTCAGTTAGGTGGGGAAGGGGGGGTGGGTATTGAAGACCACAGAAAAACACCTTTTAAAGACGTTATCAGCCTGGGTTACAATAAAAGTCGAGTGCTTAAACAGATCCTCCATTTCCTCAGACTGCATAAAACACTGGCATCAGACTGCTGTAAATAATGGGGACCCCTGACCCAGGAATTAAATTTTCTGCCTTGGAAGAGGTGGATCTCAGAGCATGTATTGGACAGGAGAGGTCAGGGCGGAAAAGGGAAGCTGTGATTTCCACTTGCTCAGAGGGTGGAGTTAGGTTTAATATAATCTCTTCTTTAGAACTTCAATCCCTCAATCCTGCATTTAGCCTTGTTGCCTTGTGCTCCTGTTCTACTACAACTGTCCCCAAACTGCCTCCTGCAGTAAATTTTGTGGCTGCTGGCTGAAAAGATTCAGTGGTACAGATTGATTTCTTACAAGTGAGGAGATGAGGGATTACCAAAAGCAGCCCTGGCTAACAAGATTGGGTGCAGAATCTCCTGCTAGAGCAGCCCACTCTGCCAGCACTTTGCATCCTTTCACTATGACATATGGGTTTCATTACACAAAGATTTTCCTGATTTTAACTTTGAGGCGATTACATTGGAAACTCAGAGCCATCTTTACATCTGTAGCAATTTAAAGGTTAAGTAACTTTTTAATCAAATGACAAAAACTCATAATGTTTTGCCTCCAATCCAAAATGAAAACTGCTGCTCCGGATGTTCCTTCTAGTGACAATTTAATTAGAAAAGAACACTCTGCTGGAGATGGGGGTCCATTCTCATTGGTCCCCAACATCTCATAAACAGCCTTCTCATGCATATGACAACACAATACAAACTGTCATAAGGTCTGGATAGCCAGGAAATAATGGAGGATTACTGCAGTAAAACCAGTAATGAAAACAGTGTCTTACACTTATATAAGCAACTTTCACCCAGAAGGATCCCAAAGTGATATACATACACACACAAACACACCACTCTATTATACCCATACACAAATATACACACACACGATTACACATAAACAATGCATGTGGGGATATCTTTGCAACAGAATAATGTGACAAATTGCATTTATCACGAACCTTTGGCCATTACACCTGCCCTCTGCTCACTAATCCATCTCTTCTGGGACTTATTCTAGCATTCCAAGCCTATGAGCAGCTTGAAACTGCAGACATTTAAAAATGCAATCAACCTGACAAAGAAACATTTCCTCCTTTCTCCCCCAAATTCACTTCTCAAAATTACACTGGACTAAAATATAGGACAGGCTAAATTCAAATCTTTTGCTACTTTTCAGGTTTGGAAACTGACTTTCTCTCCTATGAAAGCGGAGATTTTCTCACCTTCCCAATGAGGAACACAGAAATTGGTTTTAGGCCTGAAAGATCCTGAGATATCAGACTTCGAATATTTGCCCTTTTTTTTTTTTTTTTAAAAAAAAAAGGCTATTTTAGACAAATTTTAAAGGTTTAAAAAATGTATCTGTTGTAGTTTTCCCTCTTCCTCTGAGTCCTGTACAGTTG